CCCAAGTCTTTGCGCCCCTACCGGAATTATAGCGACGAACTGTCAGTGAAGAATGGCATTATTTACAAAGGCACCCAAGTCATGGTACCTCAATCGATGCAAAAGGACATGCTTCGCAGTATCCACGCTAACCACGTTGGTGGAGAATCGAACATACGTATGGCACGTGAAGTCCTCTTTTGGTCAGGAATGCGAAAGTCCATCCAAGGCATGTGTGATGCGTGTAATACTTGCGCCCAGTATGGCCACTCTGCACCAAAAGAACCAGTGAAATCCTTACCAATACCAACAGGACCCTGGCAGATAGTCAGTCAAGATCTCTGTGAGCTGGAAAAGCAAAGATACTTAGTGACTGTATGCCACTTCTCTGACTGAATCGAGGTAGACATAGGTAGAAGGTAGAAGATACCCTTTCCTCAACAGTCATTGAAAAAACAAAAGCTCACTTCGCAGGATACAGAGTTCCAGCCATCTGCCACACTGATAACGGACCACAGTTTATCAGTGAAGACTACAGGAAGTTCTTTGTTGAATACGGGTTTAAACATACCACGTCATCCCCTTACCATCCTAAAGGTAACGGAAGAGCAGAAGTTGCCGTTAAACATTGCGGAATCCATGTTGAAAAAGGCCGATGACTTCCACAGCGCCATGCTGATATACAGGAAAACCCCGCCGCAAGGTCACACCTACTCACCCTCCCAGTGCATGCTCCCACGACGCACCAGAACCCCACTCCCCACCACAGATCAACTCTTGACACTCACCATGCTAAACTTTAGAATCGTTGAGGAGGAGATCACAAAGAAAAGGCACGATAGCAAGACGTACTACGACAAGTCAGCTAGTGTAGAACAAGGACCACTCATCATTGGTACCTATGCTTACACCAAACCACCTCCTCACCAGCGTGGGAAACCATGGATCTATGGAAAAGTGATCAACCATGAAAACCCTCGGTCTACGTCACAGACTAGTGATAAGTTTTTTTTATTTATCAGCATCGACTAAGAGTCACTGAACATGCAAACAGTTATCATGCAGCTCTACTATCGTTTTACTATTGTGTAGCATACCGTCTGTAATGGTCCTATAGGCTACGGGTCTTAAGTTTTTTACCCAGGTTGGTTTTGTTTTGTCTTTTTAGTCTCTTTCTTTGTTATTTTGCAAAGGGGGAGATTTTGGTCAGCGGCTACTCGCACGATCATTCGTAGGAGATACGTTGTTGTAGTCCGCCACGTTGAATGTACTAACCACGAATAAGGGAAGTTCTGTTTCTAGTACTGACTCGTAGACTCCACCATCGCCGTTTTCCTACTTTTCTTGGCCGTTTTGCAAGGCCTCTACACAACACAAACGTAATGCAAATTACAAGAAGGGCCGGGGCGCTCCGCAAAATCGCCAACATCTGCGAAGGAGTACTTTTCAAACGCCGATTTACATATATTTTTTCGCTCGAACATATACGAATTTGGAGCTTAAATATTTATTAGATCCCAGGCTTTCCATATCAACCCGTACATATTTCAAATACGCATGTTTTAAACGACTAGGCCGCTTGAAGTGATGACCTTGTTTTTGGGCGAGCACGGCTTCTATCAATTCAAAGTAGACAGACTGCAAATTATATTAGTTGCTAAAAAATATATATATCTACGTGTCGCAACTGTTCATCAGTAGGATGCCTAAAATGCGTGCAATTCCACAATTGGTTTCGGCTCCAGTAAATCCCATACCAATTGCAGAACATTTTAGGAGGAGCCACCCACCATGTGAGCACAGTCACGGACAACACATATGAGTGAGGAAAATAACGCAAAGTAAAATTAAGACGTTAATTAACGAACTAAATGTACACGTCAATTAAATAAATAAACAAATAATGTGCGCGCTCAAAATAAATTGTACGCGCACACGTAATGAGATACAACTAAAATACAACATTGAGCAATAAATAAGTAATGTAAGGATACATGTTACATGTTGATACATACCATTTGATGTTGAACTCTCGACTCGAAGGTTAAAGTGTCAACTACATTTTAAGGCGGGATTGGCACGCCTTTGGTAACTCAACAACCAACTTGGTGATTCAAAGTTCATCTTTCGCGAAAAGCGCATGTATCGAGAGCAATGTTGATCAGTGAACTTGAAAGTTGATGGACAAACTAATAAAGATGAATTCGAAAGTTTTGACGATTGCGTTAAGAACTACAAAATTGAACTGCAAAATCTAATGTTGATCGTTGTCTAGTCAAATCAGTACACTCTCAAGTCGAATTTTGCGATGTACTTTGATTTTTGGCGGGGATGGAACTCCATACTTAACAACTCGAAGAAAAGTTTGTTGACGTCATCAGGATAGCCTGCTCAATGGGAATATGTAGCACGCTCACGCTATTGAATTTGATTACTAAGGCGAATTTTCTAGCTATGTTAGAATAGTACACACACATTCAGTGACCTTGGTGATTCAAGCAACCTGAGTGGTTCTCTCGTGATCTCGGACTATGAAGTTATATTCACCGCGCTAGGTGGTGAATATAAAGCAAACCAAAATCGTCCTGAACTGGGTGTTTTGCCAAGTTGCAGAGTAAAAACGTTTTGAAAATAGAAAATAGAAGAATATTCCAGTGTTGATGATTTTGAAGGTAAGTAAAGACTTCATGGTGTTTAAACAGCGCGATTTATTGTGAAGTAATTTACTGTAATTTACTTTCCTACGCTCGAATTAAAGCAATGTTTTTATGTATACCCCTACAGAGAATAACGGGGCCGCTTTGTCACTGTTTTGTGTCTTTTGTGAACTTGGGATTTCCTCGCAACACCATTCTAGAAATAGAAGTTAATTTATGGAAAAAAAAAAGGAAAGCAAATATTTTCGAAAACTTTATTTGTCAGAAGTTAGCATGGGAAAAAAGACTGCAGATAAACAACGCTCATCTCGACTTGCAAGAAGCGACAAAAAACTAGGCCAAGATACAAATATCCAGAGGTTTTTAAAAGGTAGTTAGAAGATTTTGACATATGTAGAAAATTTGACTTGGTTAGAAAATCTCATGATCTTTAGAAAATATTGTGATCTTTAGAATGTAGTTGAGAAAAAAGTACAGCAATCATGTTTATTTTTCTAAGTAGCTTATTTGCTAATTAGGGCATGGGCATTTCAGTGACAAATATTCAACCAAATCTCCACATATATGGGCCTGTTGTTATCAGATTCAGCAATATTCTCCATTTTTAGTATATGTGGCCAATGTTCAACAATCGAATGGCTGATGCTGAAAGGTCAGCTGCAGCCGGATTCATGTGTACAGTTCCAGATGACGTACCCTCCGAGTCAGACACAGAGACGAAACAGCAGAAGTGTCCATGTTAGACCGCTTTAGACCTCCAGCACCTAATTGTCTTCACGAACTCTGCCTGCATTAAAGTGCAGTGCCCTAGTCTTCTTGGAGGCTGCCGGGTACTGAAATAAGGCCGACTTTATGTGAAATTGTTTAGAGTTTTGTTGTACGCTGTAATTACATGAACGTCAATTTGTGTTTCAGCTTCAGTTGTGTGGCTAATTTTTTGTTTTTACTATACTATTTATGAATTGTGGCCAAATATTTTTTAGATATTTAGAACATTTTCAAGATATTTAGAAGGAAAATTGGGAATTTCCGGAAACAATATTTAGGCGATTTTACGTGATATTTGTATCTAGGCCTGAAAAAAACGTTCTCATTCACGGCGAGTTGACAGAAACAAATAAAGCTCTGTGTTTCTTCTTAGAAAGGGGAGTTATTTTACGTTTCGATGTTTTCTTTCCACTCATTGATCATAAACGCTTACAAAAAAAAGTAAAACTATGATATGCCATGTTTGAAAATACTGTAAAGATCTAACTTTTGCGCATCTACTGTTTACGGCTACATGTTCGAGCATAAATTCACCCGTCAAACATTTAATCGTTTTTTAATGGTTTCCTTTCTGATTCTGATGAGATCCCTTTGTGTGTATTGCTGGTTTACAACCACGTGACAAGGCGGCCATGTTGGATAACAATACAGCAGAACTCATTTTACAAGAAAAATTCTTTATGATAACACAGTTCACAGAGGAGAGAAATACTTTTGTTGTGTCATCCAACATCGCCGATGTAACGTCACGTGCAAACCAGCAATATACTAAAACAATTACTCGCCAAAGGCGTACTTAATATTGTTGAACTACGCGCGCCTTCGGCGAATAATGCTGGAACATTTTGCTCTTTCCGAGGCGAACTGTTGTCTAAAAACATATGACAATAACAGCAAGAAGACAACTCGACAGACGACATCTGCTATTTGGAGTAAATTTTACGACTTGAACAGCCCTTTATCTCTTAAACTTCCTGATAAAGGTACACTATCGATATGAAATTAACATCGATCGAAGTAGGCAATGTTTCAGTATATTTTTAAACTTTTAATTACCCTCATCGATTCGCCATTTCCATATTTCCCATAATACACTTTGTTTGCGTGTTTTTTGCCCCCCAACACACGCAAACAGTTTTGCATAAGCACTGTCTTCATCCTCTCTTGAGACTTTCAATCATCCCGAGAGAAATGTAAACAATACGTATTCAAAACTGCTTGCGTGTGTTGGGGGGCAAAAAACACGCAAACAAAGTGTATTATGGGAAATGTGGAGATGGCGAATATGGAGAATTCTTCTTCCTATTCAGTCTCATTCAATAATACCTAATAATTGCTAAATCTGCGATTTCAATGACCATTCATGAATTCAAAGGAAAGCACTCTTCTAGTCAAGCCAGACCAAGCTAAAGGGTTAAGGCAAGTGTGCATGCCTGTATCGTGGGATCGTTGCTCAAAGTTTAATTTACCATTTTCGTCGCGTGTTAAATATTTTAAGTGTAAAGTCAGTGATGAACAAATCGACCATTAAAAAAGCGGCATTACCTGTTCCCTCTTCATATAATTATCTAATTATGACTAAATGTGATATAATAACTAACTTACCAGTAAATTATCCAGTTTCAAATCTCTGTGTACAAATCGTTTACTGTGAATATATCGTAAGGCATCCAAGACCTGCAGAGCCCAGTTTAGGAATATTTTCCTTCTTGATTCATGGGAAAGTCTAGCAGGAGCATTCTCCGGATGGGATGTCACTAGTTCTCTGAGGGAGCAGTCACACAGCTCCAAAACAATGGTTACTGTAGTGCCATGTGTTTCGTGCAGAAGACAGGTTCCAAAATATTCTACGATGCCAGGGTGTTGCAACTCTCTTTACAAAAAGTAAACCAAAATAGAAACAGTTTAGTCCAGACAGTTTCATAAACATAGAAAAATCTTCCCTTATCAGGACATATATTTTGTACAGTCTTTATTAGCATGCGGCCTATTCATTGCTAGCAATGAGCAAGATTTTCATTCAATCGAATAGGTAAGCTCCTTGGCCTTATTTGTCCCGTAAGTTTATAACTAACCGAAGTGTAAGGAAAAAACGAGCTAGTTTCCAATTGCGCTAAAAGGATGAACCTTTAAGTTCACGCCTCAAATCATGATATTGAAAAAGGAAATAACTGATTACTTACCGTTATTTGGTCAGATTGGCGGTGGCACCAAAAGTGGAGCACTGCAAGAATTAGCCCTAGGGTTATAGTCGAGTCATATAGGATGAGGGCTATTTCTATTTTTTACATACCCTTCGATCTTCCTAGCTAGGAAGATCGAAGAGCCTCTGCTCGCAGGGTATTTTGTACATTGATCGCCCCCCAAATTACGCTTGCGAAAACCATTAGTTAGCTAAAGGTTACGGAATAGTAATCTTCGTTTAAAACAAACCTTAAAGCTTTTTCCTCATCAACAAAATGCAACACGTTGCTGGCACTCAGAGGATGTATATACTCTTTTATGGCCACTTTTACTTCTGGTTTTCCACTCTGACTAAGGATTCCTTTGTACACCGTCGAGAAAGTTCCTCTTCCTATGATTGACTGCCGATGTTCATCCCATTTCAACTCATCTCTGGTAAAGTCCGACTTTCCCATTTCCCTGAGACTAAAGACGGTTAGTTCGCCCCTCAACAATTTTGCCTGCCTAGCCAAAGGTTTGTAGATTTCGTCAATCTCAGCCTTACTTCTATCATCGTCAAGTAGCTTTTGGTATAACTTGTTATCACCTTCCAGTAGCTTGGGAATTTTATACTTGATTTTTCTCAGGCACTGAACGGCATCTTTCAGCTGTTCCTTGATAAAAGGCAATAGTCGATCTTGGTTACCAATCAGTGCAAGGCATTTCTCTGATCTCTTTGACATGTAAGCAGATGGGTCTTCTTGATACCTCTCCCGCTTGCCTCTATAATGAAACGTCTTCTTGACAGTCTTGAACAAACCAAGCGTTTTAATTGGAGATCCAACAACAACTGGTGCTAGCCCTTGTCTGAACCAGATTGGAGTGGTATCCTCGGTAACTTTTCGTGATTTTGCCCGAGAAGGTGTTTCAGTTGCATCCTCTTCCTGTGTGATGTCTGCGTCGTCTGCGCCCAAAAGGACGTATTCTCCCACTTGAAGAATTTCTTTTTCCATGATATCGTACTTTTCACAGCAAAATTTAGCGAGTGAATTCTGAGCATTCGCAAATTCGTGCGTTTCGTCCTCCCAGTTCTGAACAAACTGCTGGGTTCTCTTTGAAATGCATTTTAGAACTTCATCCTTCGTCTGCTGCCAGGTTTCTTTAACCTCAGGTGCCTCATCAGGGGACCATTCGCAAAACTTCTTGACCGTCTCTTCGGATTGGAGGTACTCTACCAGCTTTGCAATGATATCCTTTAGGATGTCTGACTGATATTCACTAAGCTCGTCAAATTTACGCTGCTGAGATTCTTTCAGTTCTTCCATCCTCCTCTTTACCCTTGACATATCTTCCTCTGTTTGTCGGTGCGACAGTTTTGTTGATCTAATAACTATTTTGACTTGACGGGAGACATGAAAAAGGAAGTCCTCTAGCCATCTGTTGAATAATAATATAAAAAAACGATGTTACTTCGTTGGTGCAATTTGCCCCCGGTGTTGGGGGAAGGGGGTCTTAAGTGTCTCTAACGTGTTCACAAGTACTGACAAGTGTAAGTATCAGATGCGATATTTTGAGGCAGATCGCCAGGCCAGTTTTCTTCCCAGACCTTGCAACATACCTATAGTTCATTTCCAGCTTGTTTTGCATTGCAGACACTAAAAGGTTGCGTATACCAGCGATTAAGCTGTCTAAGTCTCCAGTGATGTAGCCATATCTCTGGCAAGTCTGGGCAGCTGTACACGACATATACACCATTTGTTTTTCTGGGTCTAGATTTGGTAGTTTCTTGGAAAGTTTTGCAATTTGTGCCTCCTTCACATCCTTCTGCTCGTAAGGTTGAATGAGATCCCACTTGTTACAGACAAACAAAGCACACCCATCAAAAAGCGCGAGATCATCCGTCTTGCGATTCTCTTCCTGAGCATAGCGGAGTAGCATTTCTAACTGCAGTTTAAAAGGAGAAAACCAGAAAAAAGGATTCAAAAAAGGAAATTTTAATTTGACATCAATGATAGCGGGGATAGCTTAAGTCAGGAGAGAATATTGACAATAAACGCCCCAGAGGCCAATGGGTGAGAAAAATTACCAAAATCACAAGAAACAGGCCTTTTTCGGTGTTTTAATAGTTAACAATTAAGCCTTATGTGTAGATTGCTTGGACGTTTCGTAGTTTTCATCGCTTTTAACAGAATTTTTTTTTCATTAGATCAGATCATCACGTGGCGCCTTCTGTAAAGTACATGCACTTGACAGACTGTTGCAGAATTTTTTTGAATTTTTGTTGCCCATCTTTCGCAGTATATCATTGCTTCGTGTGGTAGGAAATATATTTTTCTGACATAGTTCTGCAGCGCCTTCAATGAGAGGGGGAGGGGGCAAGCTTATTTTAGTGACGCCGTGATCGACCATTTTCGGGTGTTCCTGAATTGTGGTATAATTAATGAAAAACTTTTCGGTGAATCGTGTTTGAAGTGCACTCCGTGAAACCTGAACTGCCAAAATCCTCCATTGTTTACACAAACATTGAAGATCAATTGAAGAAAATAAATCGTTAACTTAGCCAAACGACCGATTATTCTCTGAGCTCGGCAAAGAAGTCAACAAAGCAATAGGCTTAAGTTACTCTACACATCCATCGGAGAGTTTTGGCACAATTCCTTGTTGTCACTGAAAGACCAAGCCGACCAATGTTCTGATAGCACGCTGGCAAAAACACTACTTAACAAAGAATTTCAACCTCTTTCCCCACTAGACTGCGACGCAAATTCCCCTTTTGTAAGCGGTCACTCCCATTTTTAAGATCGCAATCCAGGATCGAACCAGGACCTTTCGTATCCTAATCTCTCTCCCTTAATACCACTACACTAACACAACGACCCGCCACGCCAAAATTCCGAAACTGAAATTTAAGTGCGTTAACAAGCAACTGTCTTTCAAATACAGTCGTCTCCCGATAACTCCAACTTTCTATGTAGGGAAACAGAAAAGAGTTCGAGTTATCGGGAGCTTATTAAGTTCGAAGCATCGAAGAAAATAAGACAACTTTATTGGCTGTATCTTCGACATGAAGATTTCAGTACCAAAACGATCAATATAACAAAAAATGAAAGAAAGTGAAATAGAAGTTAAGTAAGAGAGAAAAGAACAACAACTATATTAATATTAAACATTAACATAGAAAACTACTTGGCTGTGCACGGCTTCCTCGTTACTCGTATGTTAAGAAAGTTAAATTAGAGTTCGGATTTATAACAATTTAGAACATTTTCAATATAAGAGGCACTTAAGCCTTATGATTTTTAGCGCACATAGGCATGATATATTAAATAGTGCCTTGCAAGACATATTCGTAAAATTACTGTTTATCGAGTATAGGCTCTAAAAAGAAGGTATATACTATGAGAAAGTGATGAGTGTTTACATTCAACAAATAGCGGAATTTATCACCAATTTCGGATCTATTACAAAGGGGGCAAAGTTTCTCCACTCTGGGTATCTTCTTGTAGCGCCCAGATTCAATAGGTAGCAAGTAGCAAGAAATCCGCATTTTGGTTACTGCCACTTTTGGCTTAATAACGTTCTTTGCTAGGTTCAAATCTGACTTCGTTTTTCAATTTACTATGCAGATTTAATTTATTTCCAACTGAGGAGTCAAATTTATCCTGGTTCTAGCTGTTTTAGTCACATTTTTCGACCAATATTCCTGAATTTGTTTTACCCAATTTCTTTTAAACATTCTAACCAGGTGAGGAATTCTCCTCTAGTCAAGATGTGGCAGATTTGGATTATAATCAGTTAATTTAGTAAAGTGTAAATAGGAGCTTTACAGCAGTAAACCATGAATGGTTACCTATATAGGGCGCTACTTAAAATTTGGTTATTTTGTGGGGTACTAAGTAACCTTAAGAAGTACTAAAAATTCTAGTGTAAATAATAAGATGAAGAGGAAAACGTCCGAGTTCTCCCTTCACAGCATGGTTACTTGCTTTAGCGTGAACCCCTAAGGCCATTCTGCATACCTTGTTATGCATATTCTCGGGTGCAATTCGTTCATCAAAAATTCTCGAGACAAATTTGTCATAGTTAGTCCCGACTGATTTTAAAAAGCAACCCCAAATTTCACAGTTGTACAAAAGGATTGGGCTCACAAGAGAATCAAAAAGTTTAAGAACTGTTGAAACAGATTCACCATAGTAAATATTTATCTCTGGCAGGAAACTATAAAGAGACCTTGTGGCTTTATTACGTAACTTTTTCTGGGCCAGTTATTCCAAGTTAGACGTAAATATCAGTTACTTGGATTGGCTGATTACCTAGCTTGAATTCACTTCTAAATATTTTACCACTTTTACTGAAAATGATAGCTTTTGTCTTTTTTATATTTATCCTCATTTGCCATTTCTTAACGCAACAACTTAACTCATCAAGGCAAACCATTTTCTGATTCGGAAAGCAGGATAAGATCATCTGCATATAGTAAACGATTGATTCTGCATTCTCCCATGATCAAGGGATCACAAGTGGAGAATATCATTTATAAATATGTTAAATAATGTTGGGCTCAAGTTACAACCCTGTCGAACCCCTACTGAAGGTGTAAACGTCGCCGTTAACCCGCTTCTTACTTTTACCGCTGAAACAATTAACTCTGTCATACATGCTTTTAATTTTGAGTAGAAATATAATCTTTTGAGAAAATCCATATTAATTTTTTAATTAGCTTATAAAAAAGGCCGTTTCTCCAAATTGTGTCATAGGCCTTTTGAAAGTCGACAACGCGGGCGTATACCTTTTATCATTTTTCGTATAAAGATCGATTAGACTTCACAAAAACGTGGTCAGACGTCTATGGCCTTTTCGGATGCCAGTTTGGTTGTTATGTATTATATTGTGTTCGTGACGATATTTTGTAAGACGGTCATTAATAATTAGGGTAAAGAATTTACGTAAACAACTACATAGAGTAAATCCGCGATAGTTAGTAGGGGCGCCTATATCACTCGCTTTAAATACGGGTGAAATATAACCAACCGGCCATAACTGGGGAAACTGGGAAAATATGCCGGAATTCAATACAGGCCCAATGATGGACACGCTTGATTTGATAATCTCAGTTATGCTATCATTTCCGGCTGCCTTGCTAGTTTTTAACTTGGTCGATGCTTTACGTATCTCTTCAAGTGTCATTGGTTCGTCTAGGATTGGTTCATTCAATTTTGCGAATTCGGCAACTTTGGGTACGTTGAAGTCAACCAACTTCTCAAACCCACTCTTTGAGGAGTTATGGGGTGTAGAGAGAACTATTCGTCTGCATCAACTTTGTCTGACTCTCTTGGTTTGCTGATTTTTGTCTTAATTCGTTTACCATTTCCCAGAAATCCTTGGGATTATGAGACTCAAAAGAAGCAAATTTTTGAAGTAAGAATTCTTTAAAAGATCTTTTCTTCGTTTTTGCTAATTTCTTAAAAGCTTTCTTTATTACAAAAACATGTACCTCGTAAAATGGGATCAGAGGGAAATTTCGAATAACTTTTATCGTAAATTTAACTTTAAGTCGTCAGTTCTTTCTAAGACTATTTAAAAGCGTATTATTTGCCTTATTGTAACTTAATCCAAAGCATTATAGTGTCGAACCTCTGTCATAACTAAAAGTTTGGTCACGGTTACGAAAGGTTGTATCGACTGTTAAAAAAGGCAACGACCGTTTACGAAAGGGAAGCATCCGTTTTGCTACCCAGGTGTGCCACGATTTTTTCTTACTCCAGTTCAATCTTGAGTTCCGTCTCCTCAAACTCAACTCCGAGAAGATCAGCTTAAATTTTAAATTTGTCATTTTAAGCAAACTGGAATGATGGTCATCAATGAAACAACAATGACAACTGGATTAATTTAAAAAAAGACATTCTTTTATAATAATAATAATAATAATAATAATATTATTATTAGTAGTAGTAGTAGCAGTAGCAGTAGCAGCAGCAGCAGCAGCAGCAGCAGCAGTACCAGTAGCAGTACCAGTAGCAGTAGCAGTAACAGTAGTAGTAGTAGTAGTAGTAGTAGTAGTAGTAGTAGTAGTAGCAGTAGCAGTAGCAGTAACAGTAGCAGTAACAGTAGTAGTAGTAGTAGTAGTAGTAGTAGTAGTAGTAGCAGTAGCAGCAGCAGCANTAGTAGTAGTAGTAGTAGTAGTAGTAGTAGTAGTAGTAGTAGTAGTAGTAGTAGTAGTAGTAGTAGTAGTAGTAGTAGTAGTAGTAGTAGTAGTAGTAGTAGTAGTAGTAGTAGTAGTAGTAGTAGTAGTAGTAGTAGTAGTAGTAGTAGTAGTAGTAGTAGTAGTAGTAGTAGTAGTAGTAGTAGTAGTAGTAGTAGTAGTAGTAGTAGTAGTAGTAGTATATGTAGTAGTATTTTCTTGTTGCCGTTGTGGCTGTCGTTACTAAAGCTAATACTGTGCTCACCTTGTCTTTCTGTACCCCTCCAGCATTTCCGCTGTTGATGACAATATAGAAAAAGTGAGACCGCGTTTTTAGTTGTTAAGTAGGGAAAGGTATAATAAAAAATTAATTTAAGGTCAAAAGTTTCGTAACATACAGCTTCCAGTTTTTGTTGATTATAAGCAAAAGTAATTAATTGTTGGATTTCGTTGAATGGGCCGGGGCACCCAACGTCAATTTTCGGAAAATACCTGTTCGGACGACGATTTGAAATCTAGAATTTTTGGAACATTTTGTTGTAAAATTTTTTGCTTGCCTGCCACTCCTAGGATTTTCTAACATCTAAACTAGTAATAGTTGACACTACAGCTGCCCCCGCTCTGTATATTGTCGGTCAAAAGCATTCTTGCTCGTTGTGTAGCTCTTTGA